TAAGTGTTTGTGGTTATATAACAATTAGACAACGAGGTCGAATAGACTACGAAATGTCAATCATGCCATACTTCCACCAAACCATTAGGTAATTTAAAAAAAAAGTGAATTGACTCACCAAGTGAATCAATTAGTGCTGAAGTGTTTCCAGAAAACGCTCTTCCTGGCAATCCTCTCGGTCCTTCTGGACCAGTAATCCCTATCGGTCCTCTCTTTCCAGGAAATCCTCTATATCCTCGTTTACCGCGTTTTCCCCTTCTTCCGTTTGGACCCGTCGGTCCTTGAGGACCCGGTGCTCCAGGTGGACCTAAAGTTGTAGAAATAATTATTTATTTATTTGTTCATAGTGTGTGTTGCCATCACATACTCAGTCACAAAAGATGTAAAACATTGTAAAATGACTTACAAGAGAAGGAAAGGTTAGTTTGATTGCGTTTTTTCTTTCAATGAATTTATTGATTGACTGATTTGTTGATTGATTGATAGATTGCGTGATAAATTGATTGATTGATAGATTGGGTGATTAATTGATTGATTGGTAGATTGCGTGATTAATTGATTTATTGACAGATTGGGCGATTAATTGGTTGATCGGATTGATTGGATGATTAATTAATTAATTAATTAATTAATTGATCGATTTGTTGCTGGTAACTTGATTGAATTTCGTCAAAGTTAGCTCGATTAATTGCAATCGATATGTCTAGTTTTGATTGATGATCAGCTCATGCAGAGAATAATGAGTAATACTTAATTCTGTACTGTTTTGTGACCTGGCTGATCTCATGCCAACTCGGTATGACTGGCAGGAATGAATTTTCCGTATTTTTTGGCAATTTGTTGGAATGTGTTAGATTTCATACCTCTGATACATACTGCTTTGCTTTCTTGTGATGATTTTGATGATTTTATCTGCCGGAAAAAACATTTTGGTGAATATCCACAATTGATTTCCATTACATTTATGATTTAGATTTTTAAACACGAGTTAAGAAAATATTAGCGATATATTTAACGACATCGTTTTTGCCAAATAACCCTTTCATGACAGAGATTCATTCTGTGTGAAAAATATAATGTAATTGTTAGCCTACAGATCGCGATTCCCTCGACTGCTATATCGTATTGCACTAGTAATAATTAATCCCGGATTGGTTTGGGCACACCAAAAAAATCAAAAAGAAATTAAAATGCCAAAGGTATTATTGTTAATATCTTTATATTAATCTCATTATCTCATTATTATAGTATTCGATATTATTAGTTATTTTTATTATCATCATGATCATTATTATAATGATGGCGATTCTTCTTCTTAATCTCCTTCTTGTTCTTATTATTATCGTTCTTATCATTATTATTCTTTACACTTCTCTTCTAAAAATGGTTGATTTTCTAGGCAAGCTAATAACCTAGGCATTATTCAAATCCTTAGACGCTGACGTTAAATTTCAAGCCTAAAAAGAAAAAATAAATGCCGGCACTACATTTTGATTTTTTTAGTACGGCAAAATATTCTAATATTATCAATATTTACCAAATTCAATTCTTTGGTAAATTGGCTAATAAAATTATATATTTAGTTTATTGCTCGCTTGTAAAAACAAAAGGTCGTCACATATCCAGTTTAAAAACATCGGCAAGTCTTAGCATATTTTTACACAAAAAAATATCTCAAAATGATAGAAGACATATACCTTTTTCGATGATCCAGAGGGAAACATCTGCGTACAAAGGTTCCTGCATTTCGTACAAACATCCATTGGATCTTTAGAGCCATTATCAGCCGCTCTTGGTCGACGATCTCGATAATTATCACCCTTTGTCTCTGTTTTTTTGATGTGTTCGACACGAACGATTCGCTCATCCAAAGTATGTACTTTGTAAGTCAAATAACCCACAGACAAAAGTGTCAGGGCTAAATTCAACAATATGCCAAGCTGAAGAATGCAATTCGTTTTAGATTTTGCGTTGCCGTCCATGGTGTTCGTGAACAGACAGAAATCGTTTACGAATAACTTCCTTTGTATGTAACGTGCCTGTAATTTGAGTATTAACCTTAGTGAAGGTCATGGAAATGATACCCTTGTGCAGCAATAGCGGAAGTTGGTATACTATTGTATGAAACAATGGATGGATAAATAGATACGTTAAAGATCATGTACTTTTGCATTAATACATACATAATTGGCGATACAGCCAATTGAAGAAATTCTGGACGCTAACGTATACAAATATATCAATGTATAGGGTCATTGATATGTCAAATATGAACGTTTAATTTGTCATAAAACAGCAGATAATGCTTGAATAATTTTTCAAAAACTCATTAATTATTCATGAGGTATCCAGCCAATCCCTGTTTGTAATTTGTACCACGTGAAGTAACTTGAAACCAGAGGAAGTACTCGTACCTTGTATTCTACCTTATTTCCAGTTACTTCTACCTTTTTCAAGTTACTTCTACATTATTTCCAGTTACTTCTACCTTATTTCCAGTTACTTCTACCATGTTTCCAACTACTACTAGCTAATGATAATCAAATTATTAGAAATAATCAGTTTAACATTAATTTAGTGAAAAAAGGTCTTTGATACATGACTCCCTCACGACTCRATCCYCTACCGTCCAGTCTATATGCGCCGTCTTATACCATTACGCMACCGWGTTTCTGATGCGATTCCTCGGAAGATAACATACTTATAAATCTTATGGATTAGACTCATTAGGAATGCCAAGAATAGCAGACAAAGACAATTTGAATAGCTTTTGTTTCAGAAAGCCGTCCGGGAATTGAAGAACAACAAACGGTGCACGTGATCTCTTAATTAAGACTTGGTCTTAGCTACGCTAAAAATCATTCGCTGGACGCTAGCCATCGAAATCCCCCACGAGACTATAAGCGCACTTTGGCTTTCATCATTAGAGATGAGTTTAAGTTCAGTTTTGGCTACCATTATGAGCCGGACATTTAGTTCGAATCCGATCATCGAATCGACAAATATAAAATTCATCGCATTGTTAGCTTAATCTGAAATTAAAAAATATATATATTCCCGTTGACCTTTTTGACTGAACATGCTAATATGCATCCAGGCTAAAACTTGAGCGTCGAAGATCATTTACGTACGCAGCAAACGTGTAAAAAGAACTCATGGAAGAACATTATCTAGTAGAAATGTCACTTCAACTTTCTTTCCTTTGATAATTAATCCTAGCAATCAATAATCGCAGTTTATACATTGTTTAAAAACAGTCAATTTAGGGAGCTTTCCGAGACAAACACTGAACAATCGAGATTCAGGGCGGTTGTTGCTGGCCACTGAAGAATTTCGCTGCCTCTGTGACACGAACTGAATTTCTTCAGCTCAGACTATAATCGCGTTCCACAGGGAGCCCAAGATTAGTGACGGCGCGCAGCTATTCCCTGAAACAATACAATTCATTCATAGCTACGCCCAACTATATACACTGAAGCCAAACAAACCATAGTTTTTATTCTTCCTTCTGAGGTATTTTCGCAAAGATGCGAAGTTTCAACTGATCAGACATGCAAAACATTTACTGCACACATCTGCACATGTTTTAAAAGCGACAGTCCTATGGTTTTTTAGAGTTTCTTTCACCTAAAGCTCTTCAGAACCTTCCCAAAACACTTCGACTTCATCTGGCTGAAACTGATACGATCCTGCAAGAAAGGTCTTAGCTGTAGTCGATCCATATTTGTAGCCTTTCATCTTTATAAAGCTAAAATAGCTATATCCAAGGTTCGCATAGGAGTTTGTATTGCTAGCAGCATCATCACTAATATATATGTCATGGCCGCCCCCAAAGGTTGGTCCGTAGCTGCTAACTCCACGAATTGCATACTGCGATCTGAAAACTTTCATTTTAAATGGCTTGACGTTATCTTTGTTTACGAATGAAAACAGGAACGAGTTGACTGATGTACTGTAAGATCCAATGGAATCTTAAAAAGAAAACAATTATAATACGTTATTGTGAGCATAAAATGCTGTACCAATGTGATGGATGTTCTGTGTTAATCCCCGAATATAGCAAAGATGAACAACTGGAATACTTACGCCAGCTGACGTCTGTATAGCCTCCAAATATGTATTTGTCCACTTTGATGATTGTAATAGTCGGGCCTTTACCATCACAATAAGAATGGAAAGTGCTGCTTGACCATCCGTGAACTCTGCTTTGATAGCATGGTACCCAGTTTATTGGCATGTTGGTCACTGGAGCCAGCCATTCTCTCATCAAATCGTAGTAATCCTCTCGATTTTTTAGGATGTTTGAATGCAATGTATGTCCTGAAAAACATTAACACATCAACAATCACATTATAAGATTACAAAATTTCATGAACTTTCCGGTTGTACCAACGTAACTTTTTATGAAAAACGAAAGTCTGAACTATAGTTGATTCGCTTGAATGCTATCATCTATTTAGGTTCAAAATAGTGACTAATTGTTAAGAACTATTTAGTTTTCATTTCACGGATTGAATAAAATTGCTCTAGGAGCTCCAATGATTAATAATCCCTTGTTAGAAAGCAAGTGCATATGGAAAGAATAAAATTTTGCCTTTCTTTACGAGCAGCAAATAGCTACCATCATATGTTACTCTATTTGCTCTATCATTTGTACGACAGCAACGATGTATGAAAGATTAATATATTGCTCCATTTATTGCGTGTAATTAATTTAAATAAAGATGAGTACTTACTCCTCGTGAATGCATATCAAAAATACGAAAAAGAACTGAAGGAAGTTGTTGTCAGATAAAGGTTTAAGCCAACTAGTTTATAGAGACTAACATATTTCGTTTCCTGGTATAGCTTCAATGGCAACCGGAACATATTCAGAGTAAGTGAGTTGATATGTCTTTTTTTCACAGGTTTTTCAGTTGATTTAAGTTTGAAAAAATGTCCTCGCGATACAATCTAAGAATAGACGACAGTACGTGTCACGTCAAGGCTTGATTCCGTGCCATAAATTGTTCGCAATCTGATTGGCTGTATATACAGACTTCATCGATATTAACAAACAGAAAACGTGTCGATCTATGAAAAATCGACTCGATGGTTTAGCAATTTTTTCTCATCAATGGTGCTGCGATCGCGCAGGCCTTCGAACCGGTGCTCCGCTATTATGCAATTCAGTATTCTTGTTCCAGAATCCTTATCCATAAACGCAGACAGATGAAAGCATTCGAATGCGAATCGTGTATCCTAATAATTATTGGTCAAGTTGTTGCTGACTTTGACAATTTTTAAATGTCAGAGAATCGCATTATCGCATAAGGATTGATGATAACAGCCCTTACATGTTTTAATTCCCTGTTAAATGATCAATGTATAATAAGAACTGAATATGTAACAAAGCATAACGTTGGCACCCCTGGTTTAGCTGTTATTGGCACACGAACAAAAGGCGAAATCTTATTATTAATTGAATTAACCTGCTTATGGTTGAGCGTGATTTCTTATTGCTTTTCACAGTAAATTTGCTCTTGACTTCGTATTTGCTCGAGCAAATACTTGAGCCCCTTCGAAATTCCACTTGTATATCTGATTGTGAAACGAAATACTAGTAAATTTACTAAAGTGTTGTAAATAGCGACAAGGCTTTTGATTTTTTTGAGCTTTTTGTTAACGATAGTTCAAGTTGAACTTACCCTTCTTGCGAAAATTATTCTCCGATACACAGCAACGCGTGTTCGCGGATGGCATCCATTTTGAAGAGACCGGAAACTTCGAAGAAGTCACTATTTGTATCAGCATTTTTAATCCCAAGGTGTTAAAACGTCAAAAATCGCTGCATGTGAAACTCATCGATCCTTTGTTGTTGGTAAATCATATTACAGTTTTCGCGCGAAAAACCCTCATGGATACCGATTTTCAATTCAAAATATMTCGATAAGTACGTAACGTATCAAGCTCAAAATTTCACAAATGCTTTTAGTAATGCCGATCTATCGAATACTATATCATTTTTTTTTCGAAAAAAAGGTGCACGATTAGCCTCCGGTACTAACTTAAGAGACAACGATGTGCGATCATTTACTCACTTTTACACTGCGGTTTTTCAGTGGTAAAATTTCCCTTCAAATCTTTCCAGTGTCCTGTGTTGGAATCGCAAAGGAATTCACTGGTTCCAAGGATCCAGTAACCGGCTTTACATTTGAAAGTGAGAGAGTTGTTGGCCAGGAAATCACCTACCATGTATCCATTCTCAGGAGGAACCATCTCTGGACAAAGACGACGACCTGTCAAGCAAGAAAAACGACTACTTACTGAGAAGCGTTAATTGAGGTGATGCGGAAGGACAATCATATCCAGTTAGTGGTAAAAAAGTCGATATCTGCTATATGTCTATGTCGCTGAAGTGCAAACTAGAGGAAAGAAAGGGAAATAACCTACATGACGGAATAGAGTTGCTCCATGCACCATTTTCCAGGCAAAGTCGGTTGGATGCTCCCACCAAGTAGTAACCAGGATCACAAGTATAAAATACCATATTTCCAGCCCAGAACTCATTGCCAGTGCAAAAGCCATGCAGGAGTTTTCCAGGATCGCCACAGCTCATTAGGGCTATAAGAGTTGAAGAAATACAGGAATTTTATGATATATTTTGTGTTCATTATGGTCTTTGTGTTACGTGATAGAGTTGGGGTTGTTAAGTTACCTACTCAATGATGGATTTACGTAACATTGGAATGGAACCCTAGGGTATGTTTTCATTCTTTCGTTCTTTTCCCTTCTTTCACTTTAAACTTCGGCAATGATCGTGAATGAATTGGATGCGTTATTAAGCGTTGTCATTATTGATTGGTGGGTCAATGGATATAGTACTATTGTGGAATTAATGCTTCATCATCATGATGATGGGTTCCTTCATTAATAGACTTACAGACTTGTATTGTAGTTTCGGCCGTTCCATTCTCGTAGTTTCTAAAAAAGCATTTGTATTGTCCTTGGTCTTCTGGCATGAAGGGATCAATGACTAACTCGCCTATAGTTTCTTTATTGGTCTGGCGAACTGTAGTGTTTATAGATAAAGGTCGGCCATCTTTGCTCCACTCGATCTTTGGCAGCGGTGATCCATTAGCCGAACAGTTTAATTTGACACGGCTCAAGATTTTGTACACGGTCACGTTTTTTGCAGACGACTTTACGATGGCGGGAGCAACTAGAAATATAAGAAGAAGTTCATATTATAAACTACCACTTAAAAACACTTTACAAAGTCTTTTCAGGCATCTTACTTAGTGTTTTTTGTCCTTGTTCAGTGTACGTTGGATAAGTTATTCACGAGAGAAACAACATACACTGTTTTTAGAAATCTCGCTTATTTTTTTGTGTTTTAAACATAGCTCTTACTCTCTCAGAAGGTGCGCGCTTTTTGAAACCCATCGGCTTCCTAAAGAAGGGGCTCATTCATCCCACAATCTATTTATCCAAGCATTATTCAATACTTACTGACAGGATGTACAGTCAACACCACCATAGAAAACACGTTGCCATGATCGTTAATTCCTTTGCACATGTAAGGGCCCTTGTCATCTTTTCTTGTATTCTTAATCACAAGACGGTTACCGGATATTATATGACGTTCTTTGGACATGGCTTGCAATGCTCGTTTCCATTCGATCCTCGGAGCAGGAAACCCAAATATAATGCATTGCATGGTTGTGTTCCAGTTTTCATAACCAGCAACGTAAACTGGAGGCCGAACAACGAATCGTGGAGGAACTATTTAAAAAAAAAGTGATATTAATAATTGTTCTCAATCACTTTACTCCGACGAAGGATTAACGTCCGAAACGTCAGTATGTTATTTCACGTACTTTTTTTACGGTGTTAAATTTATCTTTTTACACAACTGTTTCTTTWTAGAAACACCGACGCAGCTCACACTAGTTTACCGCTAGTTCCCAACACTTTAGAATAGTGTTGCTTCTTCACAACCGTTYGTTTAATTTYTTMTAAGGATTCGAATGTTGTAAGAAATGTTTTTAAGATCCATGTCTTTGAAGGGTGAAATGTCAACGTTTCTGAAACATCACATTATAAGCGAGTAAATAAACTATGCAACTGTCCAACTAAATTGAACTCGGTTAAATGGAAATATTCTTTGTCTGAGCAAATACCATTTCTTTAAACTAGACACATCCCTCTGACACAATTAAAGCTATGATCATTGTTCATTGAAATTACCATTTACGACAAGTTTCATTTTCGCAGTTGCTTGACCAATGAAATTCTTTGCTTTCAATAAGTAAACCCCATGGTCTTCGAACTTGACATTGCTTATTCGTAGAGCACCAGTTGCATAGAATCGGTCGTCTACTTTCTTGTTGTCTTTGTACCACGAGATTTTAGGTTTAGGAAAACCAGAGGCTTTGGACGGAATGACCACATTATCGCCTTCTTTGGTGACAAGAACAGATGGAGGTCTTTTGGTTATTTTTGGAAGAGCTTTAAAAAAGGATTGGAATCTA